ATGGCAGGCGTTTTGATAGCTATCATTAGCCATTTAGCTGACTTCGGGCTTTACAGAGGGAAGGTTCATCAAAGTAGCAGAAAGTCGAGGTGTGGGGAACAGAATAGCGATTCACAGATGTAAACGAGGCAGACAGACACAAAGGTAGAGAAAAAGGTAAGATGAGTACTGTAGAAGGGGTCGAATATGACAAGCAGTCGGGCTATGATAGTTTGAAGTGAGAAGTCAATTGCGGGTTAATAGACCTTTTTGCCGTATGAGTATACGTTGTCCAGGGTGCACTACGTGGAGGTAAGTCTATCGCACACCCCACCCTCTATTATCATAATTTCCGTGTAACTTAGTGGGAAGTTGTTCTTCAAGTGACTGTTTTTTCGAGGGATTGGGAAGGTGTGTGTGGGGGGGGGGTGGAGGTGGAGATGGGGATGTAGGCTAAATAACTTTATTTACAAATAAAGTAATAAGAACTTTTGTATTTCAGCATTGCTCCAATGAATCATCTTAAGCCAACTACAAAGTTATCGAAAGGCACCGAGGGTGGTGGTTGCATTTGTGGTACATATCAAAATTTTTGTTCAAGTGTCCGCAGTATATGTGCATATGTCGTCTCTTCAAGTGAATATATATGTACCAAAATGATCCGAAATAATGCACTTACAACATCCATAGGCTGGTTGCCATATTCACCTGAATATGATATATTAAACCTCCATGTAGGCTATTATTGTCTGTTATCCCTGGTATCGTGTCTAGACACCTTAATTATTAATATAGTTAAACTATTGGTTTGACTTCCCTTTTGCGCTGGTGAAGACTGCGCGCGCTCTTTCTCTCTCTCTCACCCTCTGGGTCCTCTGGTATCTTCCAATCATTCGTCAGAATGTTTAGAAGCTTAATACCTACCGTCTTCGATAGCATTATTAATATTCATACAAAGGGATATCTTGAAGTATTGGGACTAAGACATAACATAGAGCACGTTATTTTGAAGTCCCATTTTGATTGACTTGAAATCTATCAAACTTAAGTCACCGTGTCTCAAATGAGTCCCATGTGGTCCAACGCTGGGAGCCAGGGATATTAGAGGCAATACGAGATCGGATGACTGGTAAAAGAGAGGAAATTCGTGTATGGGATGCACGGTCACATCGCGCCTTATTTTCAATTACGAAGTTTATATAGAGACTAAGTAAGATTAATGGATTTTTGGGATTGCAAGGAAGTTGAACCGATTGTTACGGATATTGGTGGTGGTGGTGGTAGTGGTAGTCCATGGATTTTATAGAGTTATCATTTTAAACGAAATAATTGTAGACTGGGAAGGCCCCAGACCTCTAGGTTTTTTTGCCTTCTGTTAATATCACCATCGGCTGAGACCTTCACTATTACTCGGTTTATTTAACTTTCTAAGGTACTTCACACAGACGTCAGAGTTGATGGAGTCGGTGCGGAAAGTGGAGGATAGTTTACGACGTCTCCGAGTGGCTCGTGCTGTCGGGGGAGCTCAACAAGCTGGAGGTGCTGGTAAAACTGACGATGACAAGATCCGCCATCAAGTTCGTCTTGATACTCAGGAGTACATTGATCAGGTAGATTCATGGTCTTATTGTCACTTCTGCAAAATTTAACGTGGAAATATATATGTATAGGCACAATTTTGGGTATTAAGTATGATATCTATATAGTCTCAGTTTATTTTTGAATGCGTTTTGCTTCGATTGCTAAATGAGAGTATCCAGCAGTCAGTAAGGTAAAGAATTTATATTTGCATCTTTAGTGCGAATCCTGTAAGATTGGAACTATGCTATTGGTCTTATTATGTAAATTTTGATCTCATTCTCGATTATGCACGAAGACGTTTAAAGTTAATTAGTTTAGTACATGTGGACGCATTATTATCCTCGTTTTTGTTTACATCTAAAACTTGTGACTTCTAGCTTAATTTTGTCAGTTTATATTAGAAGTAAACTTCGAGTAAATAAGTGGTTGCCTTTTATTGAGCATCTCTTGGCTTTATGACAATACCTATTGATGGGAGACATAATTGACCGTAAGTGTTACTTGGTTGATATACACAAACCATACTCATTAATGTGCAAGCAGTGATGTTGTTGATCAACAACACCCCACTTGTTAATTCTGGTCAACAAGAGGGTAGTGGGATGTCAGTTTCTTATTAGTGCATCTCCGGGATACGTATTCTTGAACCTCCACGGGTCTGGGAAGTTCTACCCAAGAGTGTGTATATGTGTGTGCGTGTGTATCTAATATACTTATGGGGATTGTTGTCTGAGGTCATGCCAGATATATGCAGTAAATTGGCCTGTTTCACCAAGGTCTATCCTAATTTAATAATTTGTTATAAGTTTTAGAATGGCTTAATCGATTGAATGTGTGCATTCATATTTCGCTTCAGAAGGAATTAATCCCCAATTTAGTTCGCTAATACTTGAATATTCATAGGGGAGGAAATAAATATACTTTTATACTAAAGATGGACGCTTCTGTACAAGAACAGGGTTAATTAGCAAACGGAACTTCGAGTTGAATTAATGTCCATGCATATGGAGTTTGATGAAAGTATTTTTCCTATTAGAAGAAACGAAATTAGGGAAGTGAGGGGGGGGGGAGAGGGCAGAACAAAGGAAGCGCATTCTCATAATGTTTGTCCCAAATCCCAAAACACCACTTCACTTACTTCCTCCTGTACAAGACAGGAATGTTGCTTGCAATTGTAGATTAATCAGTTCTCAATTCCATGGAAAGGGAATATTTCGCCGATCACATTGAAACACTTTGAGGCATAATAGCTAATGCTGCTATTGGACTGTGAAATCATGCCATCAAGATTTCCCATACGAGTAAGAGGGGGATGAGAGGCAAGCCTGATGAGTTTGTGTGATGAACTGGGCTTTTTCACTCCTGTTGCCGGTGTTTAAAAGTAGTAAAACTTTACTCACTTAATGTAGTGACTAGGCATTCAGGTCACTAGTTCTGCGCCAGTGGTCTTTCTCATGTCGTTGAGTTGTTACTTTCATGTCCGCGGTAAGTGTTTCCCACCATGCAATGCTGGGAACGTTTAAAGTGTCATGATATTTGTGACCCAACATTATACTTATTAATTACTCAAATCTCATGATTAAATTCGATGCAATGGGTTAGTGCGAGGCAATTTTATGCTTGTATAAGCTGCAAATCATCCTCTTCCTCCTCCCTGGGGTAGAATTAGTTATTGCCCCTCCTCCGCATTAGCAAATTAGGAAATCGTGAATGGAAGATTTACTTATAGACAACATCAATCTAAATGAGATCTAGGAGAGACTCACTTTCGGTATATACACCTCTCGATACCAGAAGCCGTTTTTGTGTCCTACCTATCAAAAGATAACTATTGGTATTGAATGCTAGTATAGTTTAATTAAATAAAGTGCCAAAATCGAATTAGATCACCCTCTTACGAATAGCTTGGGAAACTTACATCGGGCATCTGTGGCCTAATACTAGCAAATATCAATAATCAGCACATGAATCTAGACATCTTTCTCAAATCTAATGAGCTTTTTCCTAACCTCACAGCTGAAGACGCTTACTCTACTCTCCGAGACTGCACTCAAATCCAATCTGGATGTTCTTGCAACCCCTGAAACGGACCCCATGACTGTGACTTGATTCTCTTTTTGCTTTTCTGTGTCCTTCATTTTGCATTTGCACTAACACTGCGACTTCCTGGCATTTATTTTTTTAATGGGGAGGGGGGTGGGGAAGTAACCTAGCAAGGTACCCAGGCTATTACAGCGGCTGTGAAAGAAGTATCTAACTTAATAAACGTAAAATCTAGGGTTTATCAATTTCTATCGAAGGGACGACAGAATCGAACATCACGAATGGTTGGCTATACATATGGATAATGTAGAAAGGCTTAAGTTGCTGCCAAATCTGTATTATAAATCGAAAGAATAGTAAAAAAGGAAGAAATAACACAAAATAGATGTAAATGCAAGTTATTTCCAGCCAGAAAATCCACTAGCTAAGTCGTTCTCTTTTTGCAATTGGGAAAGCATTGCTTCTGATTTCATCACATCTTGAATGGCAATATCTAAGTCCTAAGAGGCAACAAATAATGAGGGAAAGAAATTGATGATCTTACGGTGCCAATATCTCCAAATTGTTTTAGATCCTCCTGTAGTTTGTCCACCTGAATTTGGAGTTTTGAAACATCAAGACGAAGATTTTCCGTTAAGGATGGATTGAAGTAATCAGGAAGAGTAGGAGGCTTTTTGAGAGATGTCATCTATGAAATAGAAAATAAAATAAGCTACATCAAACCTCAATTTCGGATTCAAAGTTTTTAGCTGCATCAAATAGAACCTCCATCTCGACACCTTTAACTTCATCTAGTAACTGAGGTAACTTGGAAATTTTTTTCAAAGATCCTGAAATTGCTTGAAGACGTGAAGCAAGAGAATTGAAATCTGTATTAAGATTCCTCAATAAATTCGATTGATTTATCACAGATGAGGCCCCGTTTCTGAAGGAAATTGAAGACTGACGAAGGCTAAATGGAAATGGATAGACAATAAATGAGGTACTTCTGGGGTTTCCTGTCATAATGTTCAAGTTTTTGCATACTTTGAGCGAGAATATCGACTTTCTCGTCAATAGAACTACCAAAACGTGAGTTATCAAAGCCAGTGGAAGCTAAGAATTCGTTGAAAATCCTCTCTTTCTCAGTAGCTATCAAAACGAACCAATATTGCAAATTTTACTTATTACCCTCCAACGTAAGAATTTCATTTACTTTATCAGACAAAATCTTCGACACCCTTACTTTATCCATGGCGATTGAACTAGAACCTCCACAAGGAAAGGTCGTGTGAAGTACTAATTGCCTTAAATTTGAATCATTCAACTGATAAAACATAACATTGTAATAAAATTTAAATATACTTTTAAAATCCAGTTTTAATAAAAATTTTAAAATATGTATTTTTAATATATAATTTTTAAAATATACCTCAAGGCCATCAGATGTAAGCGCCGAATCTGCAAATCGGTGTTCTTTAAGAACAATGGAAGGGAGCTGTTCGAACGATTGCCCCATATGCCTTCAGCCCCTGTTACAACCAGTCGAAATCCCATGCGGTCATATTTTCTGTTATCTCTGCTTAAAAGGTTCCGCTTTTCATAGACGCAAGTGTCCTCTTTGTCGTGGGAACATCACCATGGGATTTTTCAACAATCCAAATATAATTCACACCGTGAATGACGGACCCAAACAGGGTTAGCATATTATTTTAATCTAATTTCTTTCATATTTTGACTTAATTAGGCTAATGTTTATTCTACTTGTTATTGCTCCCTTTTATATTGCCTTTTGATATTTTTTAAATAATTTTTTATCGGATTGACAATTGATTAGATCGATTACCATCAGAACTTGTCTGGTACTATGAGGGTCGCAATGGGTGGTGGCAGTATGATGAACGTACAGCAGATGAAATTGAAAGCGCCTTCTCCCAATCTCTCCCAAAATGTGAAGTCTTCATTGCGGGCCACTTTTACGTCATAGATTTTGTCAACATGTGCCAGGTATGTTAATTTCATTTTGTGTTACTGCCTGAGCTTGAATTTTTTATTTGAAAGTTTTGCCATTATGTGATTCTCTTCAAAACATTGTTATTTCAAACGAAAGCTTTTGTTTTTTATCAAATGGCTATTTATGTTTCACTTTTTGCACCAAACACTGCGGATAATTAATTTTTACATTTTTTTGCGGTTGAAGTAGAACGGGAAACCAGTTCCGTTTGATCTTATTATGAAGTGGTTTTTAATGCAGTTTTTCATGCTTTAAGGGTCATATTTTCTTAAACTTATTCCAATATTATTTGCATTACCTCAGTTGTGACTTTTGCTATACCTGATAAATTTTGGAAGAACTCAACGAAAGCAAACTTATTCTTAGTAATGGCTTTTCGGTTTTTGCATGATTTCATATTTACATTGGATATGAGCTCTTCTTAGAAATCTTATTCTTTTCTTGGATGCGAATATACCAAAAGTTGAGCTGGATCGAAAATTAACTAGGGATTGCATTATCGTATGCTGCGAAGAAAATAGTTTTTTTCCTTGTTCTGTAAAACGCTTGTTATTTTATGTTAGTTAGTTAATAGTTATACCTTCTTTTGTTTCTAGTTCCGTAAGGATCATTCTGGTCGTAGTAGACGTATTAAACGTGATTCTCCAAACACCTCGAAGAAGGGTGTTGCAGGAATTCGTCTTTCTCTCCTTCAAGTCACTTCAGAAGCTCACGGGGTCGAAGATGGCGATGAAGACTCAGCAAACGATAATGCTAGCGACATTTCTGATTCCCTATCCGCTCCTTCATCGGTTATTTCTGCCATTCATCGCCTTGCTCCCACTGGAAACTCCTCTAGTCCAAATTCATCGTCCTCTCTCAGTCCCAATATTCTCCCTGTTCCTTCACAACCACCCTGAAAGATAACTGCAGTTTTTTTGCTTTCAGCTATTATAATTTTTTGCCTTTTTATCTTCGACATATTTTAACAGTTTAGGATAATAGAAGACCCTTGCCTATCTTAATTTTATGCTTTCTCTTGTACAAAGGTGCTTTACAAAGGAACTACTATTTATTTATTGAAAGAGGCGAGCAATATTCAGTTCATTTTGCACCTTAGCCCTCGGGCGTTTTTTAGTATTTAGCAAATTTCCTACCTTTCTTTGTCGGAAAATTTATTGATTTTTTCCGCCTTATCCACAAGTGAATTTTAGTTTGACACCTCTAGTAATATGATCGACATGAAATTTTGCTGGAAATTGACGATAAATCGACATTACGTAATTGCAATTTTCCCCTTATTAGTAATGTTATCAAACCATGCGTTTAAAGACTTTATAAATTATTCTTGTTTAGTGAGCAGGCATTACTTCAGAGTTTCTAATGAGTTAAATCCCCTTATTCTTGCTTTCAGCACATTATGTAACCATCACCCGAACAATGAACCTCGCATGCAATGTAAACTACGAAATGATTAGTAAATGCGGGTTAATTAGATAAAACTCATCTTATTGTATATTTTTCCTATTTTACAAAAAAAGCGATCCTTTTATC